ACTAAAATTATTGAGTTGCCTAGATTAAAGCCAACAACCAACTTAATTAAATCAATCACAATTGAGTTCAATCAAAAATTTAATTTAGAAACAAATTGATTAAAATTAGGCTTCAATCAAAATTTAATTAAAATAGGTCAAATTAATTAATTTTATAATTAAGGACATAAGTCAAAAATATTTGATTTTCGAGGGACAAAACTATCAAAGGGAACTTGATTAAAAGATTTTAGAAGGGTAAAATAGTCTTTTAGGGTGAAAAAAATCATAATCCCCTTTCATCGTTCTCAACTATCGTAACATTTGCCTACGCACAACTAGCCCAAATACCCTCCTGGGCAAACTGGTGACCCCTCATCATGGTGCCCGTGCCTACGACTAACCACTCTTTACTAATGACCAATATTGTTTAGCGATGTAACGTAGCCATCACCTACCGACCATCATTCACAGTTGTATCATATGCAACTCCTTATCGGCATTCTATTCCTACATGCATGACTATCATCATCGCATGGGTCCACATGGGTGGTGCAGTCACCCCTTGGCCATTGATGCAATATCATTGGCCAACCATGCTTACTATCTACTCTGCGACGTGCGTAGACATGTTGTCGCCATTCACCAATGACTAATGCTATCCAATAACGTAGCACCACTGCCGCTCGTAAATCATCGTGCACAACCATGTGACCTCCTCATGTGGCGTCGACCATTATCATGTGTTGCTATTCGACAACTATAAATCATGGCACACCCAACAAGGCCACAATTGGAGGTCATTTCTTATCATTGTCATTGTCTAGTGGCAACCATCTTCACCACTCTATGTCATCGTCGATCAAGGTCAATGCCTAATAGGGCTATTGCCTTGCTATGCTACCACACGTAGCAGCAGTATTGCGTGTGCAGTGTTGCTTGCAGCAAAATCCTATCATCACAAGCAACAACGACGCCATCTAAGGCAACTGTTGCCCACGGTGGCAACCATCGCATGCAGTAATGTCGTCGCAACACTTCTGCGGCCAAGAAATAGTACACAACAACTATTGACTAGAGTAGCCGCCCATCCAACCTATGGCCACTAATCAACAAAGGTCGCCACCCTCAATAGTATTGTCGCTAATAGCAAGCTATCAATAGTAACTTGCCAATCAAACAGAGGCAACATGCCATCCTTGGCTCTACCTGCATAAGGTGAGGAACCTTGCATCACTCGTAAGTATATGTATATGATATGACGAATAAGATAGGAAAATAAATCGATAACACAGATGAATTGTTCAAGCATCGTACAAACAAAATCAAATATCATTATTTCATAAGAGAATGTGTTTACAAACGTATCTAAATACAAAATAGATTTGAGATACTTTTATAATATGAGGTATTTGATTTCAAAACAGTAAGCTCTGATACTAATTGTAAGCATAAAAAATTATAATCTTTCTACTTTTACGTGCATACTAAGAACTAAAAGTAAATAACTTTAGATCAAAGATTAGATGTGCATACCTTTCCATGTTATTTAGAAAACTTTATCTAATCTAAAAATGCACACACTCTAATCAATAGGAAGCAATAATACATATCTACAAGATGAACTAAACGTTTCTTTTCCTTTATTCCTATACTTTTACAAGATTACTATAAGCGATGGATTATAGACTCAGGAGAGATAAAAGTAGATTCAGAATCTTTTTTATATATATTATCATATGCTGAGACCGAGTCTAAGATAAATAACTAATAAAATCACTCCTATTAATATCATCTATTGTGAAATTCTATTATAATTAAAATTTCTTTCTATTAGTTGATAACTATAATCAAAATTCAATCAGATTTATAATATATTTTATTTAATTAAATAAGATCAAAAGTTACTTTAGCTTTGTTTGTGTTTGTTTCTAAATATATTTTTAAATTTTATTTTCTAACCTATTATATTTGGTTAGCAAGGCTAGTGGAGCCAAATAGACGGTCAATGTCATAGTCTTAGTCTGCAAGTGGTTTGTTGAACACGGTACTCTTTGTCCCTGTTAGGTTCTTTATCATATAGTGACAATTTGATTGTTTGCTCTTGTAATACAATATTCGAAGAAAGTTACGTATGTAATTAAAGCGGCGAAGAGAACGGTTGATTACAACAACAGCTGCCGCACACAACAAGAAAGCTTATTAAAACATCGACGATGACCGAACAATACTTAGATCTCTACAACTTGCCATTCCTATGTAGGAATAGAAATGCTTACACTCGCAGACTTTGACTAAGTAAATCCCACGTCACATCCACACTTGTTATTGGTCGTACACGAGTTGCTAATTCCATGTTTGTTATTTGGTCTTCTATTCCAATCAATTTCGTTATTGAATCATTGTCACTTAAGAATAAAAAAAAATTATAATATATAATATTTTATTAACTTGGAAGAATGTAACATTTATAACTTGATTTAAGAAAATAATCATTCATTTTTCTTTATGATATCCATGAATTTTTAAGATTTTTAATTTTTAATAATCTAATTTCTTTTATTTTTTTACATATTTTGTTTTCTCTTTCTTTTTGGTAAGTTATGATGACTTATTACATTAAATTACTTATTTTTCGAAAATCTCGTGTGTGTGTGTGTGTGTGTGCGTCTTTTTCTATTTCGATATTTTGTTCCAAGTAGATAATAAAGAAGAGGCTTCAAGCCACACGAGTTGGATACTTCGTCTCCAACACCGACCGGTAAGGCTTTCTATCTTTCCAAATTCGTGTTCTAGAACTTTCCCACGTGATGTGGCGTTCGGCAATAGGTCGACCATAAATGTCACGCTGGGCTCCACCTCCGTGATGGTGAGAGTAGTACACGTGATGTGACATCCAGAGATCAGTTCCCTCCGCCACGCGTCCATCCCATCTTGCGGTACGTACAGCGGACACGTCTCAAACACATCATCATGATCATCATCATCCAAAAAGACAATTTTGATGAGTATTCATTTTTTCCATCACTACAGATAAATAAATAATAGTAATAAACCAATAAATAAAGACGGGTTTGCACGGGAAGTAGCTAAAATCCATGATGCATAACTTGGGATCATCATCCAGTGTCATCAGATCATGTAACCTGTCCCATATCCCACCATTTCCGACACCTGCTGCTGCTCTGGAGCAGGTGGCGTCTGATCAGGGAAGGGGAAATTGAGCTTGGCGCGTCGCCCGCGGAACTCGATGGCGGCTCTGTCGTAGGCCATCGCCGCCGCCTCCGCGGTGTCGAAGGTGCCCAGCCACTTGCGCACCGCCCGCCTGGGGTCGCGTATCTCCGCCGCCCACTTCCCCCACGGCCGCTGCCTCACCCCACGGTACTTGCTCTTCTTCGTGTCATTCCTCCTCCTCCTCCTCCTCCTCCCGGGGTCAGTGGCAGCGACAGCCGGGGCGGCGGAAACCTCGTCGTCGGCGGAGGCGAAGAAGTCGCAGCCCAGGCACCCGGCGATGCCGCAGAGGCGGCAGGTGTCGGGGAGCGGGAGCGCGGCGGGGGCGGTAGCGTGGCCGGAGAGGACGTCGACGAGTGCGGAAACGATGGCGGATGTTTCCTGCTCTCGAGAGGCGCCGGAGAAGGACGGGAAGGAGCGCTGCGGGTCGGAGAAGCTCAGCATGTCGCTGCTCCTGTTCCCGATTTGATGTGATTTAGAGGAGAGAGGGTCGGCTTTGTGGTGGCGGGAGAGGAAAGCGGCGGTCTTATAGTGGAGCCAGGGAAAGGCAGCGGCGTGATGTCGCTCGACTCACGCGGACCTCGTAACTGACAGCCGGGATGGAACCGTTGGGGTCGTCAACACGTATAGAAAGTTCGGAGACAAATGGAAGGTAAAATGCGTGTAGGAAGCGAGACGGAGCGAAAGATGAAATCACGTATATGCCCATTCACGAAGACGGAAGGAATCATCCTCGATGGTGTGTGTGGTGGACAGACGGACGAAGAGAGAGACGTTGCTATACCGTTGGACGTTCTAGAGAGTGAGTGGGATGTAACAGAAATACTGTGCCATGTAACAGAAATGTAACAGAAACTTAGACTTTTTTTTTTTTACCCAAAAACTAAAAAAAACAAAAAGGATGAATTTTCAGACAACCTCTTCTTTAAACTTGTTCCTTCTTTTATCAATTTTTAAAATATCTTTAATAAGTCATAATAATAATTTTCGTTCAAATTGGTGGATTGGTCTACATGAGGAACCAATTTAATTCCTCAATTATGATATTTTTTAATATATTTATAGTGTTTATTTTTTTTCAATATATTATAAGTTTATTCAAAAACACTATAACTGATATAGAAATCACTCTACAATACTCATTTGAAATCATATTTTTACATATGAGTTGGTTTTTACTGAATCTTGAATCAATTTATCAATTACAGTATTTTTGAATAGATTATTTTGAAATCACTCAACTGTTTTATTGGGAGATATCTCATGATTATGATAAATAGAGAATATTTTTTTCTGAAAATATAAAAAAGATAAACCCCTCTAGAAACTCTTTCTCTTTCTAGAATTCATCTCGTCTTATCTTGGATCAACAATAGTCTTAGACGTGTGCCCACTGTGTCACCGAGATGAGACCCACTAGCTAGAGAAATTTCTTGTGTTTGAAGTCCTCTCTCTCTCTCTCTCCATGCTTGTTGGGCATTTAACGTTGAAATTTCTCCAACTATATGAGGTAATATCACTATTTTATTAAGGAAAATTCTTTCTCCTTGTGCGTATAATTAGAAAGCACCATATCAAACACAAATATTATCTTCGTTTCATTCTTATTCCTAACAATATCTTGCTTTAGTTACATGGAAATAAAGATCAATTTAAATTGATTGATCGATAGATGCATATTATTAATTTGGACATTTAGTTGACGATGATAATCGTATTTAGTTATCCTATCGAATCATGATAAACGATGTCAAAGTAGTGTTGATCCTGGTAACAAGAACAAAGCAAGAAACAAGAACAAAGGGAAAGGATTTAGCGATCATCAATTCAGAACAAGAGATTGAGGAGCCTTCTAAATGCATCTGAGGACTTAACCTTGCGGTAGGATTTATCTTCCGCTTCCTACATTAATGTTCATTGAACGTGACTATTAAGTCACCACAAGTCAAAGTCTTAATCCGAACATGAAGGATTAATCGTCCACCACTTCTTCATACATCTGAACAAACTTAGGCTGCTCACTTGAATGCAGGCTCAAGAATCCAAATCTTCTTCTTCCCCGTCCTCACATCTAGCTTCGCTTCTTCCTGATTACATTATCCATCTTCATCGGCGTGGGTGCAGGGAACTGTCTGAAAACACAGCAGAGGATGGCATTTCAATAACAATATCCTACTACTAGAAATGAGCACATCAAATTACTGAAGAAGAAGACAGAAATCATGGAAGGACAGCATCCAAGCATGACACATCTTTGATCGGCGCTTACTGCTTTCAGTTTTGGCTCGTTTCGCCCTGGCTGTTCTGGTTCGGTGTTCTTCTTCGGATTCCATGTCCACGAAGTTCTGATCCGAGACCTCTGCAGGAAACCAAGCGTGCTTTCAGCTAAACTGAAACCTTAGTGTCTCAGAATTATCTAAGTGGAACCTGCATTGCCTCCTCGAGGATGTCGATGCCAATTACGAGGGCAGAAAGGATGCTGTTGTATAGGTCTTGTCGGTCTTCCAGAGTGCCTTGCTCGACTGGTGAGCTCATTGGAATCCATTTGGTTCAGTCGCCTGCTTCTTGATGTAAAATGCTGGATCCATGGATTTTCCAACAAGTGCCAGCTTTCATTCTTGATCTCAAACCGAATCCTTTTCGGATCAAAATTATGCGTCTGCCAGCATCCTTTTTGCAGAACCTTCAACTGCAAATTTTGATTTGGGATGGATAAGAAAGTGCTTCATGGCTTTATCCATCAATCCAACAAGTGAATCTCGGTTCCATACCTGACAAGAGACGAGGAAATTGGAACCCAGAGCTAAATCTTTTGTGGTGGGGTTTCGTATTGCTATATGCAGGCAGCCAAGCAGATCATTTGATCTATTCTCGTTGATGTATAGCTGATCAACGAAAGATGATTCCATGAAACTCAGATACAAATTGTGCGTCTCATCTGTCCATACAATTCTCGCGAGGATTGGAGTCTTAGGGCTCTGAAACAGACATGAGTCCTTCAAATCATGGTCTCCTCATACAATACATAAACAAGTTTTCCAATTCAGGGCAAGAAGAGGAGAACATCAATCAAGGTCAGCAGCTTAATTTCTGAAACTGAAAGGTTTTTTTACTCCAAAAATGATCATAATTTTCAGCATCTGAAATCCCTAAATCATGTGACAGAGGGAAAAGATGAGTAGAATCAAGTCGACCCTCACCTTTAGGACACTCTCCTCGCTGCCGGGGTTGACATCCCTCTGGTTCTCTCGCGTCGAGGCGGAGTAGATCTCCGGGGAGATCGCCTCCCCCGGCTTCGGCGCCTGAATAGCCTCGACCGAGTCAACCATTTTGGACGAAAGAGAGATGATGGAGCGGAATCCTCACGAATTGGTAGGAGAAGGATGAGACGAGGGCAGAGAGATGATAGGAGGAAGGCAAAGGAGGGGAAAAGCACAAGCCAAACTCCTCCAAGATGGCATACAATGACACGTCAGCGACCGGAAAATATCGCTGGAACTTAAGGCAAGGATTCGATCGCTGCGGCAGCGGATCGGCACGTGGCGGATGTTGGATACTGAATTCGTGGTGACGTGCACCGATGGGTGTGCCACACCGCCGGCCTTACCTCATCAAAGATTTGATGATGTTTCGGATTCTAACATTAAGGGAAAAAAAAAAAGGGAGAGATTTTATTTATTTTTTTTTGGGAAAAACATATTCTACCATCAATTAATTTTCCGGAAATATTGCCCATTGATTTCTTGGACTCACGATTTCAGGTGAAAAAGGCAAGTAGGATGGAAGAATGGGTAAAGAAACTGAATAAGCTACCACATCTGGTACCAAACGAGATGATGAAGAGCCGTTGGCTGTCTGTGTCTTGGGAGCCCGAAATCAATTCTCTTTTGGTGAAGTTTGGTGTGTTGGAGGCTAATTGTATTGATTGGCATTGAGCTCCGTGATCTGATGAAACCCAGAAAACTTGACATCACGATCTCATGACCAGTATCCATCTCCCACGGATCAAATGATGCATTTAACTAAACCTTTCTTCATGTAAAGATTGATCAATTATTAGTCGATTTCGAGCTTCATCCGAACACCAATTCGGTTCTCAGATAATTCTCTCATCTAATTGGCAGCGTCATCATCGAAACTATATCTATGCTATGTAGCAATACTAATATTGAACGTGTTTTTGGCCGTGAATAGGGAAAGGAAATATGATGGCGTCCGCTGTAGAAAACATATCTATACTTATCTAAATCTATGAATCTTGTTATCATTTTATTAAATTAATTTTGGTATCAGATTGTTCTTTGAAGTATGTATATGTCTTACAGTTAAAGTTTATTTTGGCCTATGTGAATTTGATCGTAGGCTATTTAGGTTCTTATGATTTATTCTAATATAAGTTTAAACTATATTAGGTCCTTATGGTTTAAACTTAGGACTCATAATAAATAGTTTGATCATGGGTCAGTTAAGTCCTTATGGTTTATGATACACGACTCACAATAAACTATTAATATAATTACACGTATAATTTAAGTTTAAAAAAGATTAAGATTCATTTTAACCCATGTGATTTTAGTTATCGACCACTTAAGCCCTTATGATTTACTTCTGTTTAAAATAATTTCTATATTTTTAAAAATATAACATATAAGACCCTCCTGTCAAATCCGAATTAACAAATGTTAGAGTATGATTCAATGACATATTAACTCATAATAAATCATTAATATAATAATATGCTTAGTTTACGTTTTAAAAATGATTATGGTCTATCTTGTCGAGAAAGAGGAAGTGACGGACGAAGGTGAGGTGACAAAGGTATAAGAGGTCGAAGGCAAAGATGAGGGAGAGTTGGACCATCACGTTGTAGGTGCAGCGAGTGAAGGCACAGTAGAGGACAAAGTGAGAGGTGGTGAGGACAAAGACGCCTATGAGAAGAAAGTGACCAAGAGACCACTGTGCCTAGTATTAGATTGGTCGGCGCACATCCACCTAAGATAAGACTAGAAGCTCGTGAGCTCGTCGTCAGCGTGTGAGAGACTAAATGCATATGATGGCCTACTAGGCAGTAGTTACTCGGTGATGCTAATGGTGGTTGCTTCCATGAGGACACCTCTGATAGAAATAATAGAAGATAAGAACAAATATTGAACGAAGCTTTGATAGAAATAATAGAAGATAAGAACAAATATTGAATGAAGCTTTATTGAATAGTTGAAGATGCTTCAATACATTAACATGTTCCCTCTCCTATTTATACAAATTAGGAGGAAGGATTTCCCTAACAGAATAGAGGATTTTCCTCAACAGAATAGAGAAATTTCCTCATATAGTTAGGAAAATCTTATCTTCTATCATGCCCCCGCAAGATGGTGCTCCTGACAAGGATACAAATCTTGGATCGATGCAAAGAATTGTTTACAAGCGAGAGGCTTCATGAGTAAGATAAGTGTAGATTGCTGCGATTGCTGTTGCTGTGATGGCACAGGCGTTCCCTTCATTCTCCTTAAGTCCGCCTTAAGTCCACCGAATGTTAGATCAGCGAAGACTACCGCGGTGAGGAAGATGAGGATTGACCACGGAGCCTCTTAGGAATGCAACGGCGTTGGTCGCTGGCCGAAGGGTGAAGCTTCACTTTTCTCAGCGACGTTGGTCACTGGCCGAAGGTAAGAGCGAAGCTTCGCTTTTCTCAACGACGTTGGTCGTGGTTGCGATTACGACGGCTGTGACGGTAGAGAAGAAATCTACAGCAATGTTGTAGTGATGCTACTACAGCAAAAGAGGAAACTGCAATAGAGGAGGAAGCTGTAGCAGAAGAGGAAGTTGTTGTAGCAGAAGAGGAAGTTGTAGCAGAAGAGGAAGGAAAATAGCTACAACGAGGAAGAAAGGTGGGCCAGTGCTGATGAGCAGCACTAGAGATGCCGTAGCGGAAGGGAACGGACGTTGGCGCAAAGTGGCAACACCAATGATGAATTGGCAGCGAGAAAAGAGCTTGCTTTAGGCAAGTGGCTCTGATACCATGATAAAAATAATAGAAGATAAGAACAATAATTGAAGAAGCTTTATTGTAGAAATGAAATAGCTTTAGCTTGAATATATTAACATGTTCCCTCTCCTATTTATACAATTAGGAGGAAGGATTTCCCTCAACAGAATAAATAGAATAGAGAGACAAAATAGAGATATTTCCTCATATAGTTGGGGAAATCTTATCTTCTATCAAGTTGGAGAAATCTTATCTTCTATCATGCCCCCGCAAGATGGTGCTCCTGATAAGGATACCATTCTTGGATTGATGCAAAGAATGGTTTAAAGCAAGAGACTTTGTGAGTAAAGCAAGAGCAAATCGCTGTTGCTATTGCGATTGCTATTGTTCTGAGGGCATAGGCGTTCCTTCGTTCTCCTTACGTCCGCCCTTCGTTCTCCTTAAGTCCGCCGACTGTTGGCAGATCAGCGAAGACTACCGCGGTGAGGAAGATGAGGATTAGCCGTGGAGCCTCTTAGGAATGTGGCTGCAGCGACGTTGGTCGCTGGCCGAAGGCAAGGGCGAAGCTTCGCTTTTCTCAGCGGCGTTGGTCGCTGGCCAAAGGCAAGAGCGAAACTTCGCTTTTCTCAGCGGCGTAAAGGCAAGAGCGAAGCTTCGCTTTTCTCAACAGCGTTGGTCGCTGGCCAAAGGCAAGAGCGAAGCTTCGCTTTTCTCACTGCTCTGATACCATGATAGAAATAATAGAAGATAAGAACAAATATTGAATGAAGCTTTGATAGAAATAATAGAAGATAAGAACAAATATTGAATGAAGCTTTATTGAATAGTTGAAGATGCTTCAATACATTAACATGTTCCCTCTCCTATTTATACAAATTAGGAGGAAGGATTTCCCTAACAGAATAGAGGATTTTCCTCAACAGAATAGAGAAATTTCCTCATATAGTTAGGAAAATCTTATCTTCTATCAACCTCCTCCTACCATTAACGATGTAATTTAAGTTTAAAAAAAGATTAAGGCATATCTTATCGAGAAAGATGAAGTGAGAGAGGCCATAGCAACGGACGAAGGTGGAGAGACAAATGTAAGAGAGGTCGAAGGCGAAGGTGTGGGAGAGCTGGACCACCAAGTCGTAGGTGCAACGAGTAGGGGCGTAAGAGAGGACAAAGTGAGAGCGGTAAGGACGAAGATGCCTAGAAGAAGGAAGAGGGATCAAGAGACCACTACATGCCTAGCGTTCAATTGGTCGGTGCACATCCACATAAGACAAGACCAGAAGCTCCTGAGCTCATCGTCAATATGGGAGAGACTACATGCGTAAGACACTCTGCTAGGCAATAGTTACTCGATGATGCTAATGGTGGTTGCTTCGATGATGACACCTCCTCCTACCACTAATGGTGATCTTAGTTTTTTTTTTACTTAAATTACATATGTCATTATATTAATGATTTATTATGAATCAATATACACGTAAATAAATTTTAATATCTATTAACGAGGAGCTTATACTATGTTTTTTAAAAATATATAAATTATTTTAAATATAAATAAACTATAAGAGCTTAAATTATTGATGACTAAAATTAAGTTAAAATGAATCTTAATCCTTTAAACTTAAATTATATATGTTATTATATTAATAATTTATTGTGAATCAAACTGAAATGTTTATTAATTCGCATGTGACGGACTTATATATTTTTTAAAATATATATATATTATTTTAGGTTTGAATAAACTATAAAAACTTAAATAGTCTGTTACCAAAACCACCCTATATCTTATGTTCTCCGGACTTCATCTATTTACAATCTCAGTGATGTAAGATTTCACTCGTCGAAGCAATTCCAAATACCAAACATATAGCCTTTTCCCCCGCCGCTTTTTTTTTTTTTTTTCTATTTTACATTTTGGCTGTCTTAATTTATCGGTAGCAAGACAGAGATCGAAGAGGCGACAGAAGGAGCATGCCATCCTTTTACAAGGTGATGAAGCAAGAAATTATACTATTTATAGTTCCCTAAAGAAAACATCAAAAGAATTGAAGGCAACAAATTATAGCTACTGATGAAGCAAGCATTCACTACTAAGGTTTAGCAGTTACTGGACACTATTTTGACTGATACAATTATGCAGCATAAGAGAGAGCAAGAAAGCAGAGGGACGGGAGAGCCCTCGAGTTAGGAATCATTGGCACGCATTCATACAATAAGATCAATCGAGATGTGAATGGATTCTTTCTTCTTTTGTTCTCTGTGTGTTTTGCTTTGTTGACTTGACTTAGGGTGTGAGTTCAGCAACGTTGACGCAAGGAGCAAGCAACCACTTGGGCCCACTGCTTCAATCTCGCCTTCCTCTCCTCCGGGCTGTCGCCTTTGCGTTACCAAAAAGCCACGCATCAACAAATTGCTCACTTGATAATTGCAATAAAAAGAAAACACAGGTAATTTAATTTCGATTATTGGATTATTTATTTAACTACGCCATGAGGTCATCATCAACGATTTGGTCAAGTTGGACGGCCGTTGAAACCGTCCGACCTCGATCGGACGGCTGCGGTAACGCGGCGCACCATAGCGTCCAGCGCTGTGTGCTCCAAGTTGGTAGGATAGAATTCTCTGGAGACGTACCTGGGGAGAAGAAGGAGACGGGGCTACCCAAGTCGGGCGAGGCGGCGGATCCGTCGGATGAGGAGGACTCGGAGGGCGGGGATCCGGAGCCGCGGTGGACGGTGTAGTACAGATCGAGGGCCGGGAGAGTGTCCGAGAGCCTGCGGGCGTCGGCGAGGGGGAAGTCGGCGTCGAACCCGAATCCGAGGTCGATGCAGCCGCGCAGCTCGTCGAGGTCCTCGTCGGTGACGCTTCGGGCGCGGGCGAGGGCGAGGCGGCCCCGGCGGCCGCGATGGATGGACTGGCGGCGGAGCCACGCCTCCTCCCGGTCGGAGTCCGGCGACCAAGATCGCTGCTTGAGCAGCCCCATGATGGTGGGGAACAGGAATCGAATTCCGCCCCCCTCTCTCTCTCCCCCGCGAGGGAGAGGAGGAGATGGGGATTGGCTCCGGTTGTGACCGACGCGTCGGGCTATGGCAGGGGAGAAGCCAAGACTGACTTCTATTATTAGGTGGCGAATAAGGAAGAGCCACGCTTCCATGCCCTTCTCGTTGTACGCTTTTTCTAACCCGGTGTTAATTGGTGATGGCCAAAGGGTCCCGAAAGCACGTCAGTGAGGCTGGCCCGCTGCATGGCGAGGTATGCGAAAGGGTAAATAAACAGACGGCCGGACAAAGGTGTACCGGGATAGATGCTGTTGGGGGCTTCTCCACCCCCTGGGCTCACACCTGGTCTTTCTACCCACTAGTTGTTGGTTAAAACTATTGGGCCCCATTGAACGCGGCCCGAAGGAGCCGCCCATCAACGTGAGGTGGTATGGGGACCACTTGGGTTGGTACGCGCCATGATGCTGTGTCGGCGCATATTCTCAGTTGTGTGCAGGGAAGTTATTTATGCAGGTTGGAAACGGCCGCCCAGTTGCCGTTACAGGCAACGAGTAATTCTTTCTTTTTGAGATAAAAACAATATGATAATACATTGATTTCCGGGTAATATCTGACGGAAATATTTTGATCGTTCACATAATTTTATATTAGATAAATTCTAAAAAAAAATTAAAACTTTGAGATTTTTTTTAAAACATTTAAACTTTAAAAAATTATCATACTCCTCGGATATGTCACGAACCTTCATCTCTTCCTCTCTCATCACTATCTGGTTAGACGAAAAGCAATGATTAACGATGGTAGAATGATCATCGTATAAAATAAAAATTATTATGCTAATTTTTTTTTAAGTTGTAATGCTATCTGGAAAATTTTCAACATAAATTTTTTTTTATAGAAATTCGTCTTTTCATATTTTTCATTGAAATAATTTTATGTTTCTTGAACCATTTCACACGCTGACCTTCCTATCGCGTATGTTATACGACGCCACTTTGGTTGTTAAATATTCCGTTTGAACATTGACATTTTAATAGTCAAAGACGGGGTTTTGAATGGTAAACGATGGCGGACGACACGCAATCGATGGCTGGTTTAGGAAGGTTTTTCTACGTGATGTGTGCTTGAAGCATCAATCACACACTGTTCTGAGATAAACGACGTGGTGCCGGTGATGGACGGTTGGATGTGAAACCGATGAGTGCATAACTGTAAAGCACTATATTTATTGGATCGGATTCGGGTTTGCCACGAAGATTTGAATTATAGTCCGATGGGCTTTAGATCCAAAATCTCCCTGCTCTGACAAGGGCATTAAGAAGATCATGGCTGTAGTCTGATAAAGTTGCAGTGGATGGCAATCCACTATGATTGATCCACCGTTTCGCTCCAAGTCTCTTGTTTCAGTCTTCTGGCTGTGCTTGTTCTTGTAGCAATGGGAACACAACTCATGTAGCTGCTCTGGATTGAGGGAGGAGATCCCAAAAGCCTGGTGAAGATCCCTTGGTTTCTGACGTTAATTTCATGGTCTGCAACACTGGGAAGATGAGGTTGTAGTGTGACAGCAGGATGGATTAGCATGGAGCTCATCTGTGGGAGATTTGGGCCTTTCAGGTCCTAGATTTTGTGTCTTGCACTGCAGTCTGGTCTGGTTATCGATAAAATATGATTGCTTACAGAAGAAGATAAAGTCTGTGATGAGTTGGGGTTGCAGAACACTGCAGTCCCGTGTACATGTATCACAACCAGCATCTGCTTTTCTTCCTCTCCTGTGAAGTCCTCCATGTGAACTACCTTAACATTCCTCAAGAAGCCCGTCTCCTGCATTCACATGCATCTTTTGACAATCTTCGCTGCTGCTGCTGCTCTATTAAATTTATGATGAGTTGCTCCTACTCTGAGCCACTTCAGCAGACTACAGATGGAGTACAGATGAATAGAAGAAGTCAGGCGGAGAGTTAGGCTTGGGAAAGGATCATCTGCAGCTTGAGAGTGCTCATGGTTTGTATGATGGTTGAATATTATTAATCAACCACCCTGTTGGACTTGATTGCTTCACTCATTTTAATGAGCACACATCAAACAGTTGGCAACGATACAGCAAGGAAAGGACATGGAAGATCTTTCAGCGATCAAAAGCTGTCGAACATTGAAGGCAGCTGCTTCACAAACAACTTGTGAGTTTTACTCTCTCGTTTCCTACAATTAGATTTACCCTTCAAAGCTGTGTGTCAGATTCATGTATCAGCGGGAAGAGCCTTGTGCATCATTAGATCATTCTTCCTCTTCGTGTTCTTGGGAGTCGTGGGAGCGAGATTTCTGCAGCAGAACCCTAACCGGTGTGATCGCAATGACCAACGTAAGGGTTAGGGTGAAGTACGTACGCTGGCAGACGAAGACCATCGATGGAAGCAGCCATTAATAATTGGATTGGAACAGTGCTTCAGAGCTTGATGACCAAGCCATACAAGGCTGCCAACACGTGGTTTCACGTGCCATGGTGGGGTTGGGTCGGTCCACACTGCCAAGAACCGCACTCTCTCTCACACTTGGACATTGAAGCACTGTGCCAATCGACCTAGTCACCCTTACACATGCCGTAATGGGTGATCAGCCTCTTGCACATGCCGCCCTATAAATGAATGAACCAAAACATGGACGACCACCATGTCAACTTAGGGAACATATACATGTGTATATAAAGAACTCATGCTTTGACCTCCCACTCTCTTACTACTGTTCTTGTCAACACCATACCAACAGTTTCACGGTAATATTATATCGCAAGCCCTCCCTTCACATTTGCTCCAATTGATTCATCATACGTGGAGTGCTTGGATTCTCATCGTCGAATTAAGTTTAAGATTCGTGCGTGTCACAGATGGATTTGGTGAGAGCTATTTGGGTATAAGATTTCAAGAACAATTCGGCAAGCCCATTGCTTGATGTCGCCACAATGGAAGGAGCAGTTAACTCTCTCTGTATGGTCGTATAATGACTGTATTTTGGAGAGAGAGAGAGAGAGAGAATAAATGCTGCGTTGTAGTGTGGGAATGGAGAGAGAGGATGAGACAATTTGGTACGCGCTTGTAATGGGAGGAGCTGCCATGCAACTCACCGTCTTGTCCTCTTGTTTCCGTGGAGTGGCCAAGAAGTTTCAAAAAATTTTGACACACATCATCACACTGTCACTGTGCTCCCTATGCACTCTTCCTTTCTTCGCTCTCTCTCTCTCTCTCTCTCTCTATATATATATATATACATATATACATCCTCTCTTGAGAAAAGAGAACAGTCACTTCCTCCTCTTCTATGCATTCAAGCATACATTGGCTTCGTCGATAATCCCATATCCATCACCACGACATGGTCGACGTCGACCGCCGTATGGCGGGCCTCACACCAGCCCACGCTGCAGGACTCCGCCGCCTCTCCGCTCGTGCCACAGCCACGACCGCATCCTCTCCCTCCTGCTCCGCCATCTCCCACCGTGGCGGCCTCCTCTCCTTCCTTCCCCTCGCCGAGTCCGTCCTTGCCTGCCTCCGCGCGGCTTCCGTCCCTGTCGTCCCGGGCCTCTCCCACGCCGAGCTCGCCCGCCTCGAGGCCGACCTCGACGTCTCCTTCCCCCCGGATCTCCGCGCCGTCCTCGCCCTCGGACTCCCCTCTGCTCCCGGCTTCCCCGACTGGCGCTCCCCCGGCCGCCGCGCCGCCTTCGACCTCCCCCTCGCTGCTGCCTCCCTCCAGGTCGCGCGCGGCGCGCTCTGGCCACGCTCCTGGGGCCCCCGCCCCGCCGACCCCGACCGTGCCATCCGCCTCGCCCGCGCCGCACTCCGCCGCGCCCCCCTCCTCATCCCCGTGTTCGACCGCTGCTACATCCCCTGCCGCCCCTGCCTTGCGGGCAACCCCGTCTTCTACGTCGACGAGCACCGGGTGTTCTGCTGCGGCTTCGACCTCGCCGACTTCTTCCAGCGCGAGCCCGCCTTCCACGCCGCCGCCTCCGCTTCCCCGGATCCCCATCCGATCTGTTGCCCCAGGCCCCCCGGCAGGCGGAGCCTGGACGCCGTCGCCGGGAAGACTCCTCGGTGGATCGAGTTCTGGAGCGACGCTGCTTCCAATCGCCGCCGCCGTAACTCCTCATCGTCCTCTTCCTCCTCTTTCTCCTCGTCCTCCTCCTCCTCCTGTGGATCGGCGTCCCCGCCGCGACCGGACCCGCAGCAATTCGTGGAGATCCGGTCGCCGAGGCGACTGCCAGGCTGGGTGGATGGCTACCTGGACCGGGTCGGTTGGGTCCTCCGATCGGCCGGGTGGGACGAGTCGGACGTCAAGGAGATCGTTCGCGTGCCCCCATCCGCCGTCTTCGACGGCGAGGACGAAGCCACAGCGGCGACGATCGACTCCGAGGCGGCGCTCGACGCGCTGCTGGTGAAGGCGGACCACTGTTCCGACTCGCTCCGGCGAGCCGGATGGAGCTCCGACGACGTCTCCGACGCGCTGGGGTTCGACTTCCGCCGGCGGCCGCAGGAAAGACCCGCGGTCAAGTTACCTCCCACGATCGCCTTCAAGATCGAGAAGCTGGCCGCCGAGGCGGTCTCCCAACGCTGACGGGCGGTGTCCAGATCCAGAACCTTTCAATTTTTTGTGGGAACCTCGGTGACGTCGCAGCAGGTGTCGTACGGAAAGCCGTATAAAGAGGAAAAGAGGATGTATGCGTACAGTGTTAATAACAAAAATACCTGTATGTGCACCATATATTACGAAATCGACCCCCCAAAAAAAATTCACATCACAGCTCTCAAAATTTCCCCCTTTGATGTCGAATGATAACGTGTAACATGAAAAGAAGGGAATCGATGATTTGGTTGGAGCTACCGAATGCGGAGTACAGCAATTAAGCTGGTTTAGATTGGTTGGGTTCGCGTCGCTTTTGGTAGATTAATGGGTGGACTGTACTTATTATATATTTCCAGTACGTGATTTATTAAGACCAGGAAGCTTGGCCGGGCCCCACCGGCGCCGTAACCACACGCGCGGATCGTGATTGCTCACCGAAAAGAGCGAGAGCCACCGCAGTGCATGCGAGACGGTGCACCGAAGCCATGAAAGCTCGCGCCGCTCCTCCTCTCCCTCGCTGCCTTTCTTTTCCTTTCCTTTCTTGTTATCATCGTCATCATCATCGAAGACCACTGTGGGAGTGACAGCTTTGGGAGCTCGGGCCATGGCGGAGGGACGGGGTGGGTGGGGGGTTCGAAGGGAGGTGGAGGAAACGAGGCACGGCGTCCTCGGACGACGACACGGCATCAGGCTGTCGCCTCTTGAAAAGAAGCAACAAGAGACAACGAGCTGAACAAAAAGCGAACCCAACCATCATCGTTGCTCTGCCCGTTGCCGCTGGGCACGTGGGAGCGCCGGTGTACAGATTTCCTTCTATATTCGAGCTTCGACTGCACCAAGGAAGAAGCTATCCGATCACCATCCGAAAAATAGCACCGAGAGGAAGGATACATTAAAGAAGCAATAGTACTTCCTCGTATTAATCTCACCGATGAACAGCCGCTGTCATCGTTACTGTGTCGGCTGTCATCTGAAATCGACGAGTGGGTTTCGCCTATCCAAGTTGGTGTCAGGACCACGCTGCTGACAGAAGCTCCTTCTCGATCGAGACAGCACCCATACAACAACACTTTGAGCGACTCGGTTGTCTCGTAATGGAACGATGACAGTTCAGTTTTGGCTAGCTTGGTGCTACGCCAACATCCCAATCGATCATAATCTCAAGGAAGATTAAACTTGATGCTTTTGGATCACTGTTGCAGGTACTTTGGCGTGACACTGATCCAAGGAGCAAGTTTCCATGCAAGACTGTTGTCCTCACTTTAGTGTAGGGTTCTTTGGAACGGCAAGGGGTGCCCACCGAGAAGAGGCCAACGACGTGGGGACTGACGCCAAAGGAAGGAACAAGATCCTACTTTCCTCGATATCCACAGGTCGATCCATCTCCGGCCTCCTCCCTCTTTACGCAGCTGGACCACCACCCACCGCCACCATCGATGCTGCGACGCTGGAGATCGCGGGCACGCACGCAAAGCAACGCCAACAGCTTGCTGCTGCTGCTGCAAACTTCAAGAGGGATTCAATGGAACCCTCAAAATCTCTCTTGGTATTTTAAATCAGCGCTCGTCTCATCTTTTACTACCACACCAACATGGACAGGACAAACATTCGCATCTGTTGATCGACAGCATCACTCGACTGTCCTTCTTGGTTAATCGTATTATATATAATATCTCCATTAGGAATTATCATATTGTTGAAATTTCTCGCACACTTGTACTCATTCCAATTGCAATTAACAATGTTACTATAATTCAATTTATATAGATCTACATGTGGAGTGTAACAATGATAATCTTATGATAGATATCTCATCATTTTTATTTATTTTTATTTTTCAAAAGATAAATAATTAAGACGAGAATTGATCTGAAGATCTTGCGGCGATCTAATAAAATCTTTGTCTGCATTCTTGTTCTTTAAAGCTGTTAGCTATGAGGTGAAGGCATCAAATGATCACTGGGAGACAGGAGATGTGCGGATCTCGAGACAAAGCTGCACTTTTCTGTTTCTTTGATCCTTGGTTCTTTTCCCACAAAGATCAACCAAATTCTTGATCGGATAGTCGCCAAAGTCAAAAGGCTTTCATGACCTCATATAATAAAATGTGTTCAAAGAGCATCTGTTTTGCCATACTCTGATGCTCGAATTAAACGACACAACCCAATTCGGCCGTCGTCGCAAAGCATGGAGTACACTTACTATTCAAATATGCTCGAACCATAACATAAGAATGCTGCACAGCTTCGACAAAAGGCTAAGACGGATGACCTCTCGCATCCGTAATCTTCTTCGGCAGCGGTAAATGCACCCCCGCGACACTCGGCTGCTCGCTCGCATTCGGCAGCAACCTGCCTTTATCATCCGTCGGTGGCGGTGGGATGTGCATGAGAAGATGACGGCGGCTTTCACTCCTTCCCATCAGTTCACGTGGATTCTGAAACAATCCAACAAACACTTGATGAGCCATACGGGAAAGAAAGAAAAAAGAGAGAGAGAGAGAGAAAGAGAAAGCAAGAAAGAAGATGCGGCGACCTCGCCACGATTCCAATCGGCCGCTGCATTTAATGAGCTACCGACTCTTCCACATGCTTTTGGTCTGTTCATCGATCGCCGTCGACGTGCAGCTGAAGACGTGGCGGCGATGAGGCCATTGCTGAGGTAGCGGTCAAGAAAATGATGTCTTTCAAGAGAAAACAAAGGAGGGAAGGAGGGAGGGAGGGTGCAGACGTCGGCGATGCCGGTGTACGCAATAAGTGTGATATGATAGAAAATGAAACAAGAAAGCATATTGAGATGGATTCGAATGCGTACTCTGTAATATAATCGACATAAATATTGAGATCGATCTCTATGACGTAAGCCAGTAGCTAACAAGGATGAAGGAGAGGTGTATTCAAACAACATGTACACTAATCGATCGTATGTGTATATGTATATAACTCGATCGATTTTATCTACTTATATATCGTTTCTACTTGATATAACTTAATCATTAGCAATCGGCTGATAGCAGCAATGCCTGCTGCTATCATTATCACGATCGATCAAATCATACTGCACCAGCTAAAAAGGTTCTACAGAAAAATACACCTTTCACGACACGCATCACTTATTGGTCGTCGAAGGAGAGAGGTATGGCGTGCGGTGTCTTGTACATGTCCATGTCCTCATTTCTCAAGACAGAAGAAACCCATCTCCCATCCCCCTTCGTTGTCTCGAGGATAACACCAACCCCCACTAATGTGGGAAACACCCCCACAGTCCAAACCCATCGCTGCAGCAAGATTGATTGACAAATCATGAGAAGCATACAAATGAAGAAATCACAGGATCACCACCACAGTTTCTTGTCTGCAAGATGCAGGTCTCTGCTGCTGCTGCTGCCGCTGAAGCGGAAGGAAAGGTGTGGGCTCTTCATGTCTGTGGGGGCACCTCCTTCCTGGGGACACCTTCACCTGGGTTGGCCTTCGTCTGCTCCTCCTCCATGCAGCAGCCTCCTTGACGAAGACGGAGACCGTGCATAACTAAATAGTATGAGGCCATGCTCGCAGAGCTGTCAGTTGGCATCCAGCTGACACTAAAGTGAAGATGAACAGCTAATGCGTGGCATGGCGTGGGCGAGTGCTGCTCCCCCGATTACAATGCATTTGGAGACTGATTCATGCCAAACCTTGTCTGCCATAAGTGGACAATCAAGATCAGCAGAACTGGACACAAGTTGTTCTTCCCTCACTTGTTTGGTGGCTAACATGGCTGTCATCCATACTCTATTATCACCAGATAATGCAATTCTCAGCTGTTCAGCCTTTGGGAGAACAATGCCAGTACTATTTAGTTGGCAACTCTGAACTTAGCCACTTTTGGTAGGATCTGACAAGTTAGTGGCCTACTACTGATGGACCAGCTACTGTAGCTGCAGAAACATTGCCTCGGTCATTTTAACTGCAACACAAAAACAAGTCGCAGTCTCATTAGTCTGTGGTTTGGTGACATGAAAAGCCAGCTGAATCAGAAAGGAAATGTTGCTTTCATTAGAATATATATTTTTTAATTAAAAAAATGTTTATTACATTAAACAATATACATGACGTTCACATATGACTTCCAATTTAAATTTTATCATTTATTTAATAATATGTTAATCAATCTGATTGTCTAAACAAAAGATTTCTTTAGAATGAAATTGTTATGAATTTAATATCTTAAAAATTATTTCTGCTATATTTACTTTGTTCATTTCTTAGTTCAATACAGGATATTGCCGATTCAAGAAGTGCAAGATTTAAGAATGCCTCTTAATTTTCTTTCTACTGAAATATTTTACTCGCATTGTGAATTGTGTCAAGGCCTTGTGAATCCATAAAAGGATGTTAACTCTGCATACCATTGATTTGATCGTAATTCATCTAAAAGAATTTCACATATCGTTAGATTATTAGATTATGTGATTATATCTAGCTAAATAAGATATATTATATATAATTATATTCTGATTATGGTTATCGATCAACAGAAAGAAAATCTAATTATGATAGGATTTCTTAGGATACAATTTTGATGAGAGGGACTTTCCTAATTGTATATCATAGACTCTTTGCTCTTGTTTAAAGGATCTCTTAGGGATTATACACATAATGTGTGGATATGCGAATATGCATATAAGAAGAGATGGGGATACGTGACATGATTGAGAGATTATAGATCTTATCTCATCTTTCTTTAATTTCGTGAACCAATCAATGAAATATTACAGATCTTCTCTCAATCCTTGTTGCTCCTAAATTCATCGTTCATAGTGGTCCTATAAAGAATAAGAAGAGAGGAGAAGACGAGTCTAGTTTTCTTACATATCAGCATCACTATAGCTTTCAGATTCAATGATGATATACTTACAGATTAGATAAAGGCTTTCTAGTACACATCGTAAATTTAGATCTATTATTATTTGATTTGGTAATAAAATTTTTTCATACAATAATGACATATTATGATTTGTATGCTTACAATTGTTATCAGTGAAATTAAATACTTTAAATATATTTGTTAGCACCTTTTACTCATAAAAATATGTTAATCGATTTTTATTTACGATACATAAAATATTCGTCTATATTGTCGATATATTAATCTATCTGATTTGTATTATCACTTACTCGTGAGCAATGTAAGGTTCATTGTGTTTGATCAATGGATCATTATCAGTAGTTTACTGTTGATGATAATATTATTGAGGATGATGGTCTTCGATGGTCGCCCGCTTAGTCGTGGGCAATAACTGCATAGCATTACTATGTGCATTGAATATAGTAGCACCGTTACTCATGACAACTGTGGTGACTATACAACACTACTACATGTTGTGGCTCTGATAACATCGCTGTCAGCGATGACTATAATAGTAATGCCGTGAGAGCATTTGCTAGTCGTGACTGATGTCAATTGGATGCTTGAGGCTACACGTAGGCGATGAGCATGCACGACAATAATTGTGCCTCATGTAGTGTTATGATAAATGTTGTTAATGTCTTTATTAACTCGAAGTGGCCCTGATTCATATGCGAGGAGTCGTTTTGGGTAAAGCGAAGTTTCTCCAACCTTGCCCTTGTACAAAGATCAAGATCGGAAAAGGTTTCTCGAGTTGGTCCCTTGCTTAAGTTAGTACTTGGTTGCACATAACCCCTCTTGTCCCTTTAATTTGGAGCTAAAGATGTATTTTTATACTAACCTTAAAGGGGAGGACATTATGTGAAGATCCTATACAATAGATAGTTTGTAACTAACCTGAATTATTTTTTGATCTTCCTAAAATATTCTTGTTAATATTCCTTATGGGAGCTAGTTCGTAACCAACTTGAATTGCCTTATGATCCTTTAAGAATATTCCTTAGGGGGAGTCGGTATGTAACCAACCTGAATTATTTTTTATTCTGAAAATATTTCATGAATATTCCATAAATAAGATAGCTAGACAACTCGGCAGCTCAGTAACTTAACAATTGACCTAAGTTATCTTTTGGGCTTCAATCTTTGTGAATAGGAGGGTGCCGGCCTCATATGACATTTGACGTGGTGAATGATGACTACCTGATTCTATATTTTGCATCACGCAATGGTTGAAGAAAGGGAATGATTAGGGTTTTTATTAAAAAAATAATTTTACCCTTTAGAAATTAAGAAATTCTTGTCTGTGTCTTTAAGTTTTATATTCTGTTTATGCCCTTTAGAAATTAAAATTTTCTATTATATATCCTAAGTTAAAAGTATAGTTTTACCCTTCTTCAATTTAAAATTTTTGATTTATATCCTTAATTTTAAAATTAATTAATTTGATTTATTAATTAAATGCTTTGAACGAACTTGATCATAACTATATTTTTATTACTTAACTGGATTTAGATTCAATTAATCTTGTCTTGATCAAATTTAAGAAAAAAATAAATTTTAATTAATTTTTTTTAATTTTGATTGATAATTTTTAACTTACTTAATTGGGTTGATGCTTAGTTCAATTCTAAGGCTGTCCAATTAAATATGGTTCACTAATATAAGGGTTTTATGTAGAATTATAAACTTATAAATTATAATTTACTTTTATAATTTTCTCATGTGGTTTATTGATTAACATTTTATATGTGATAAATAAAAATTCAATTATTGTTTTTGGATATTTATTCGATTATTCATATACAAAATATTAAAATTATAAAATAATATTTATTTTTCACATAAAGATATGATTTATGTTCATTATGATTATAATTATCATATGAGTTTTTCTTATAAAATATTCAATAATTATTATGATTATTATTTTATTATCAAAATTATTTTAGTATAAATTAGATTAAAAATTTTGATGAATATTATTCGTAACTTATATATTTAAGTTTTATCTATTTTGTAACTATCAAAGTGATTTGGGATGATAATCTTATGAGATATAATTTACAATAAAAGTTTTATCATTTATAAGATATTTTAAACTATATTTTATATTATTATATTAGTCTTAAAACCATCTAAGTGGTCTAGACCAATAAGTTATAAAATTACATTAAAAAAATTAAATGATATTAGAAAAAATAATATTCACAATGACATGCATAATTAAGATATTTAGATAATTTAATAGATTTAAAAAAATTAATAATCATGTGATGAGATAAGATAATGCTATTTTGGACATCCGTGTAATTTATACTTGTATATCTAAAAGTAACAACAATATTCCACGAGGATAATATCATTTTTTTATAAATATTTTTGTGTGAACACTAAATATTTCAACCAAAAATAAAAGTCGATGATATCAATAATTCAATATTACCTAAAATTTTTAAAATATTAATATTTTTATTATATTTTGATAAATATCTATATTTTTTAGATTAAATTATTATAAATAACTTGAACATATATAATTTACAATAGGTTTATCAGACTAGTTAAACACAACATAACTTAATTACTAAAAATATATAAAATTAAAATAACTAACAAATATATGAAAACTTAAATTTATGATACTTATTTATAATATTTAAATTTTATTATAATCTACAATTAGTACAGTGAAATATTTTAAGAATCAATTTAAATTTATTGGTAGATCATTGATTAATATATTAATGAAAGAATTGATTAAAATTTAATATAACAAAATTTAAAATTTTAAGATTATATTCTCTAACAAAGATATAAACTTAAAAACATTGAGCATCAATGTAATTAAATTCTTACTCTTATAATTTATTTTAAATTTTATTTTTTAAATTTAATTTATTTAAAATTTATTATAATCAAATTAAGATAAAAGAAAGAACATCATCCACAAGATAAAGTCAAACAACTGGAAACACCCTTACGAAAACTGGAGGTCCAAAGCAAGATAAGAGAAGAACATCCAGAAGATAGATTTACTGATTCTTAATTTACACTAGCTGACACCATTATCTGATATAAACAACTGCTTTCCGCACAAGAACTCTGATATATTTCGTCGTCACTGTCCGTTCACAACTTTACCAGGGACCTGTCTGTGTCCTTCTTAAGCATAGTTTCTTCGGTCCTCGCTGCTGATTAATTATCTCGAAGACCTGGAACCAAATTTACAACATGTTTGGTGCATAAATTTCCCATGACTGTTATTAGATACGCAAAACTATCCAAGAAGAAACAACAGTATACAAAGTTCTTGAACACTTAAGTATTAATGATAGTATAGAGTACAATTGATGATTGCAGCTACAATTTCAAGTCAATTGTTGTCACTCGTCATGCTCTCATGTGGTGTCATACTATGACAAGGAGATTCATCTTTAGATTCTCTAGGCATTTGCAGGTTTTGTACCACCGTTAGACAAGAATAAAGGAACTTTTGTTGTACTCTCTCTCTCTCTCTCTCTTAATTTATCACCCTTATTTTGCTCCTATCAGATATAATATCAGAGAAAAATGGGAGATGATTTCACTCAATGCAAAAACATATCTCAAAGATGAGTAATGTTCAAAAGGCTGACACTGAGAGACTGAACGAGTCAATTATAGAAAGGTGATTAGATCGGCGTAAAGTTGTTAAATTTTATATACAGAGACAAGAAAATATACTTTGTGTACAATAAGAAAAAGAAGTAATTGCATTATACTACTAGAAGCATTCAAGTTACTCGAAGACAATCAATAGAAGAAAAGGGGAAAAAATTAACAGAGAGAGAGAGGGAGAGATCTGAATGGTTCAATTGAAGATAAATTTATTAGTAGAATGAACTAGCAAATTGCAATATATTCATCGAGAAGAAATGAAAGTGAGTCAATAAGACATTAGATAATTGAATATGCTAAACGCAAGTGACTAACCTGATGTTTCTGCATATCCATCATCTTCTCCTGAAAATATATGGACATTGTCAGGAAGGATCCATCTTTAATGTCTAGCTACAAGATTGCTATGCTCTAAAAGATAATTTTCTATTATCAATCCAATAACGATGAAAGACTGAAGTCAAGGCTGCTCCTTTATACAAATATCTTGTAAAATTTTCTGGATTACATCATGACACCAATTACCTGATTCATTTTAACCTCAGCTCTATTCTTGATCATTTTAATTGTTGGCACTCAAATTTCATAAAGCACATGCATTAAAGTGGTAAAACAGAAAAAGGAATATTCTACAGGTTAGAAGGCTGAATTTAATAAGTGAGTTGTGAAGGTTAAAATCAGAAAGACAAATTACAACATCCAAGGAAACAAGGTTCATTTGAGATCTAAGAACTAAAAAGGGGTTGGGATTTAGTTAACATTATGGTAATAGCCAACAAGAATCTGATTTTGTTAAGTTCATAAAAGAAAAGAAACATGAATAGGACATAAAACTATGACTAAATGTAAAGAGACCTGCCTGTTTTTTCTGCAACTCTTCATTTAGCTCTTTGAGTTTTGCTACTTCAGCTTCCAACTCCATGGTATAAGCCTAACTTATATAAGAAAACAACAAGCAGAATCTTCATGTAAACATAATTGCATAACAAACTAAATCACAACCTAGAATCATAAGTTGTTGAAGCTATAAAGAGTAACTCATGAAGACTATCACTCATCTACTTTGTAAATAAGGTGCTACTAGTATATTAGAAAGTCATCAAATTTGCACAATTAGCTAATCAAAGGAAATGATAATGCTGCAGCCTAACGAGCAAGGTTCGCAATACCGTACCGTACCGATATTTCGATTTGGGCTCGGTACCGGTACGGTACGGTATACCGAGCGGTATACCCAGGTGTGCCGAGTACTGTAGCACTGCTACAGTGCTACAGTGCACTCGGACCGGTAACAGACGGTCCGCGTACCGACAACCTGTCAGACCGGTATATACCGCCCGTACCGGGCGGTACGGTTCGGTACGACAGACCCTGCTAACGAGGACCAAATTGAGTCTAATTAGGACCTGATCGAGTCAATCTAGTTCAAGAATCTTCAATGAAATTAACTTTTTTTTTATTTTTAAATGCAGTCTTAGGGACCTTAGGGTTATCTTGGGTCCAATGAAGTTATAATTAGGTCTGTTAGAGTCAAGTTTGCTGGGATCCATTTATTCTGTGTTTACTAACAAGTCATTTGCATGAATTCTAACTGACTCGTGAAAGATACCTTAGCATGAAAGATGGAATCTTTTAGACATAGTTTATATAGTTTTGGATTATATGGAAGTCCTAATTTTATGATAAAATAGTCCAACTATAAGTTCTCTTAAACTGTAAGTTAGCTGACTTTCTGGTGGCTCGGTTAAAGAATCTTAGTAGAACTCAATAAAGCAGAACAGGGATCACATAGGATTCCTGATTTAGTAAAATCCATCTAGTAATTTTTGCAACATTTAAGAAGGAAAGAATTTAGGGATATATGTTCCAAAAATATACATGTTAATTCTATAGATACAATAGATCTACTTTCATCATCATAGTGTGATGATCTCCAGACCTTTATTCATGGTTCTTAGATTGGTATTAAGTATCATCAACATTGTCTTCATCATCAATTTATTAATCAAACTTAATTTTGCATACTTAAATATGACAATACCTGAACAACTACTGGAAATGAACTACAAATGTGACTGCTTATTCACACATGCCATCAGCTGTTATCTTCTTCATCAACTTTTTCATGCTTATTTAGACAAGTCTCTTCTGTACAGACCTTCTACCTTCTATTATTTAGTTTCTATCTAGTATTCAGCCTTTATTTGCTGTGTCGAATTAGAAGCTTGCAACTTCATTTGCTTTTGCTGGATACACAATAGACACACATAGATAAGGGAACCTTTTAAATCTTTGTGCCATATCATATCACATCAGCATATCCTTGAGAAATTATTACCCTTTACACTTCATGCTCGATATTCCACCTTTTCGTGCAACTTTTAAACTCAATATTCCATTCTTACATAATCTTATCTAGGACCGCCAAAATTTGATGAACCAAGCAACTGCAAATTTAAGACTAAGATCGAGCTATTGTAACATATGAAGATGATGATTCTAAGATTAACAAGATAGTTTTAGCAAAAGTGAACTTCTAACTTCTATTCAGATTGATAGAATCAAATGGAGCCTTATAGGTTTTGTTGAGTCCAGTTGAGTTAATCAGTTTGGCATATTGTTTGTCTAGTTTGGATCAAGCTGATATATATAGCAATCCATCTCCTTTGTCACCTTAACTTGATGTGATTGGTTTCATACTGAGTCACACGACTCACATCTGTTGTTTCTCTTCACTTTCCAATGTTTGCATCAGTTTGTTAAGTCATAGGTTGGGTTTCGGATGAGCTTGATGTGTCAGTATAGACCATCAGTTGGAAAATTTGGGCATACTAATTCTTTTGCAGAATTGAATCATGGAGCCATGTTCAAGGTCTTTGGCTTTCTGATGGATTAATTGAAGAGTCCTATCAGAAAACCTATGAGAAAAAGCAAAATCAGCTATACATGTCAAAACTTTTCTGGTAATCAGTCGTATATGTCAAGGGGCCTTAGTTACTAAATACACATATGTTAATTGGTAATTTTCAATGAAATGAATATTTTCTAGGTGGCTGGGTGGCCCTTCTTAGCCTATTGTCTTCCTTTTCAGCATATTTTTTCTAGCTTCTTTCTAGGTTCATTCCCTACCACCCCTCAACATATATGTTATTCACTCTTTCTTCTAAGCATCCAATTTTCTAAGTTATTTTGTATTGCATCTTCTCTAGCTCTTCTGAGGGCATATTTAATCACCATCCCTTATTGCTTCAGTATCTATATTGTTGCACTGACCTCATAATTATCTTTAGTAACCTGAAACCGAAACAAATTTTTGGTAACAACTCCAAAGTATTATTTATTAACTTCTGAAAGTACATTTAGAGAAGTAAGGAATATAAACTCAAGTTGGTTAGCACAATAACCATAGCTTCCTTAAGCTAACTTGGCTCAAAAACTATATAAATGATGGAAGACTTCATGTGTTATAACAAAAAAGGTTCAGAAGTCTGTCATCATAGTGCACCATCAACTCTCAAACTTGATAACTAACAATATGCATAAAAGGAAGGATTGTTTTGGTGAATTGGAACTGAACAAAAATCAGTCTTACTTCATGTTCCACTACTGAACCAATAATGTAGAGCAGTACTGCTCTAATTTGTAATTCACAATTAGATTAAAGAGCATCGGAGAGATCACCTGCTTCCTGGCTCGAGATCTAGCAGCTGATTCCCTGTTCTTGATCATCCTCCTCTGCCTCCTCTCCAGCACCTTCTCCACAGCACTCGGCTTCCTTCCTCTCAGCCCTCCACCAAAAGCATATGGAACTGGCGACACCGAAGATAAATCCCCACCGCTCTTCCTAAGTGCATCTGAAGCCAGGTGGTTTGCTGGAGATCCAACTGCAACTGTACCTGCAACCGTGCCCAAACCAACAGCTCCAGACATTAATCCGTTCTTCAACCCTGCATCCCCAATCCCAACAAGGCCTCCCCCTCTGTTCCTCTGAGGGTTCCCCAAATCAACAGCACCATGCGGCACAACGAACTGACTCGGCTCAGCAGTGGCCATCATCGGTAAATTAGTCACTGAACTGTTTGCAATCGGATTGGTCAGTACGACATCCCTACTGTTTCGACTTGCCTGCGTGAACCCAAGAGCAAGGCTTGAGGCATTGTTTGCAACTGGTGGATCACCAAAAAGCACGTTGCTGATAGCATTGTTGTTGCTGTTGCCATTATTACTGTGATCACCATTAAGTCTCTGTGGCAGAGAGGTCGAAGGAGCAGCCGGCTGCTCTCTGACCACCCCGGCTCTGACCAAGAATTCCTCCAGGGTCATCTCGCCGAGCGTCGGCTGTCGCTGGTGGTGCGAGACGCCAGCGACGGCGGCGGCCGGGGGATTCTGGGGGAGGCAGACGAGGCCCCTCCAGACCTCGTCGACCGTCTTCTGGCTTAGAGTCCGGGGTAGAGTGAAGGAACCCTGCCGCTGAAGGCCGGCGTCGAGGACGGGAGCGGCCACGGCGGCCATGACCTGACTCTCCTCAGCGGTCCATATGTTCTTGAGGAGCTCGTCCATGTTCATGGAGCCGAAGTCCTTTCCGAGCCCCCCCAGCGTGCTCTGGAACTCATCAAGAGTCAGCGAGTAGACGGACGTCTGCCGCGCCAGCCCGCCGCCGCCCTTCGCCTCCGCTCCCGACCCTCCTCCTCCCCCATCTCCCATCATACTATGCTTATTAAAGTTCATTCTTGGCAGATCCTTCCGATTTCTCCTTCTCCTCTGATTATCTCGCAAAAGGAAATCCACCCAATTCGCAAGAATCCTATCCGTCCCCTATCTGAATATTACATGACAACAATCAACACAAAAACATCCAACCCAAACAGATCATGCAGGCGTCAGAATAACAACAAGAAAGACATGGACAGAAAGCTGCGGCAATTACCAATTCTCACGAAGTCCAACCTCTTGAAAACTCGACCGACAACCCCATTCTGTACCGATAGAATCGCATAGGAACAGGCGAAGATTGTGCTATCGATGTGTTGTCGGAAGGAGAGAGACGCAGACCTGCCGAGTGTTGTTGGTGGTAGTCAGTTGGAGAGCTCGCTTTTTCTTCTTCCGCTTCCGCTGCTCTATTATCATTTCCCCCCTCGCGGGATAGTGGTGGTGATCGACAGGTGTCGACTCACGGAGTAGTTGCATAAAGACACATTAGAAACGAGGAAGTGCCCTCAGAACTCGAACAATCTCCCTACCATCAGTCCGTCGCTCTCCTTGCTACCAGCTTTGTCACTGCACATCATTGCGGACCCCAGATCGCTTCCACCGAATAAGCAGAGATATTTTTGGGTAGGTCGTAATCTAGTACAAAAAATATCGGGAAGGACCGCAGACGTGAGAAAAAGCGTGCGGGCTACCGCGCGACGTGGCGCGGTTTGAGGACGCGAGCGACGTTGATGATGACCGGAAGCCAATAGATAGGCGCGATTTGGGAGGATCAGAGCCGTTGGTTGAGCGTCCCGACAAACTATGAGGATTAGACTTACCCCCGCGCGGGATGATGAAGATGGACATCGGGCACGATGTGACTGCCGACATTAAAACTATTTAGAGGAATAAGGGGGATCACATGGGTTATTAGCGGCATTCTTGGCCGAAGCGTCTGCTTTCTCTTCGCCACTGATGCTTTGGACGAGCGCAGGACAATGAAATCGATGGCCTTTTAAGGAACACACTGGGTTGCTGACCAACACAACAACGAAAACTCGATTAGATGATCCAAGGTTTACAGTATGGGATCAATTTGCTCGTCCACGAATGATACTGAAATCAAAGGCAAAGATGTCAAGTTACTTGCTTCAGTGGCCATCGTGCCAACGTCTCTTGCAACAACTCATCAATTTCGTCCACATTCCAGGCCAAGGATTAAAACCATCCAATAAAGTTCACAAGCCATAAGAATTGAAGGGCATCCACACAGCAACAAGCATAAATTATCAGAGATAAAGAAATTACATAGCCAGCAACAAAATTTTGAATGCAGAGTTAGGAAACTCTCTTGTGACCTTCAATTTACCACAATGGAGATCATTTGAGTCGATCCACGAAATTACTGTCAACTAATAAGCTCCCTTCCCCTCTCTTCTTGTAGTTATAAGATTTCTGCAAGAGACTTGGTAGGTACCAAGAGTCCCGGTTCCCCTTCAGCTTTTTATCGTGTTTGTCTGACTGACAAATGAGGTGTTAGAGCATACTGTAGCAATAACTCATATAGTAAAATCCAAAACAACTCAACATTTTCCTACATTACATTACATTAAAATATGATATGAAGGTGAGGAACTATGCCAGCTGTCCATTTCATGTAGATACACAACACTAACAAGCAGCATCTGGTTTAGATTATCAAATGAGTGGCAGCATACAATACATGATAACATGCAAAATCCAAATGCATTCAGCAAAACAAAATAAGCTGGGGTATAAAGAGAAAAGATTTTCACACCTTAAAATTATCCAGAATTACAATATTCAAAAAGTTCTAATTTCAGAAAACATGACAAGCTCGAGTCAAAATTTTGAGCAAGTCTTCCACCTAAACTACGCTTGACAGATGAAACATCATTGCAATTGACAATACCCTAAACATCTGACTATGAAATCCCACGACAAGATAGCACATGACATAATTCAGGTAACAGCAAAAATCATTAAGACAACAACAACAGTAACAAGGAACAGTAGCCACAATATCCCAACTATTTAAGATTGGCTATGTTGATCATTTTCTGCAATTAGTCTCTTGAAGGCCATCACTAATTGAACCAAGGGCAACCAGATTATCTTTTATGGTCTCTAGTAAAGTTTTCTTACTCTACCTCTCCGCATATCACTAATCATAATTGATTAGAGAAAGAAAATTAGAATAACATGAATTAGAAGCATAAGACGACCAATCAAATTAAATCGATGACCTTTCAGCTTCAGCAATCTTAGGAAGGATACCCTGGGATGCAATCAGTGCCATTCCAAGAAATCATCTTTCTGCGGTCCCTTCCCCTTACTGATCTTGCAAGTATAGTTCCACTAACTGGCTTGCACAATCCAACATCTATTACAGAAGTGTTCTTTCTTTTCTCATCATGCAAATCAAAATGAAAATCAAACAGCATCACCAAGCACTGGATTTGGTGGGCCAAGATGTAATTTTCATGATCCAATTGCAGAATTTTGAGGATATGAAGATTAACCTGCAAAAAACATTTCAAGAAACATATGAACCTCACTCCAGCACTTCAAGAAACTTAGAAACAACAAAAATATAAATAAAAGAATCAAAATGACTACTCCACGTCACATACCTCTGCTTCCATGGCACGAAGCACATTATACAAATTACAATGGCCTGAATCAGTGCTCAAAGTGAAAATTGGTGGCCGAAGAGGGTATTCCACGCTTATCTTGACCTGTCAAATTGTCCAAGTCATTTAACAAGGAATTGGCAATAACAATGAAAAGCGTACAGAAGGAAAATGAAAATTGATGATTCACCTTGGCGTTTAGCTTTACGATTCGATCATTTCCACAAGTTCTACTAAGAACAAGGTCAAATTCTCTTGCGGCATGGTCCTCCCAGGGTTTGCAAACAATGGAGGTCATATTTTCAGTTAGTTGATCAACACATGCTTGCTCCTCCAAGTCACTCTCGCTATCCAAAATGCGTTCCAATTCGTCTTCATATTTTGAAAAACTACGGGTTTTGACCATCTTTGTAGGTGTAACATTCTTTGAAATCAAAGCCAGACTTCTTGAATGTTCAGCATGCTGAAATGATTCATTAGGTAGACCAAGTGAAGAATTAACTGACATTGTTGCAACAGGTAATGCAGTTGGAAGTTCCCCATCTTCCCTTGCACTTTCTACTTCCCATGATGTGACAGATCTTCTGTCCAGATCCATATCAACAAAATTTGTAGCTTCTCCTACCATACCAACTGAGAAAGATGAATCAGGGATGAGCCCTGCTGGTGACCAACTTTGCAAGGTACACAAAGGGGTGTGCAAGGCCCATGGAACATTTTCACAAGCTAGCAAGGGCCACTTGAGCTTCATCAAGGAATCAAGCTGCTCCCTGTAAACCAAATCAAATCCAAACCTAAAGACATGCTCTAACAATCATCCAAAAGCATATTAGGCAGATGGGCAAAGCCAAAACCAAAACAATTAAATTTCTATAACTAGTATTCAGGAAAAACAAAACTAACGATCATCTAAAGAGTATACCACTTACAACCAACAACATTATAATAACTATGTATTTCAAAATGTTCTCATGAATAATGCATTTATAGCTGAACAAAGTGCATTAGAAAGAAGCTCATGACCTAAAATAGGACCAGCTAGTCATACATAGCATTTCTTTTTTCCCAGAATATCAATGATTTTAACATTCAGAGGTTCCAAAAATTCATGGATCATTGACTCACACAAGAGCCATCTGTGCTTTCTTCCTGGAACGAATCCTTTGCAAAATGGTGTGAACACGATTCTGATGGCGGTACACCGCAAGCCCAGAGGTAACATCTGAAGCTTTTACAAGTTCAGGATTCAAAGTTTCACCATTGGCATGGATGGGAGGGACCTCTGGCAAAAAGTCAATCCCAGCTAGATGTTGTGCCCACTTGTATGGATGTGAAGTTCTCCTTTCACCAAACGCCAGAGAATCTCCAGAATAAAGCTTAGCCATCTAGAAAAATATAATGCATAAGTTTTGACAAAATATTAAGAAAGCATCTAGCAAATCACGAAACTTCTGATATAGTTTGGACTGAAATTCATAGCTTCTACCCATCAAGACAATGGTTGTCATCCCCACAACTTCTTTGATATGCTAGTATCAATGAACCAAATATCAAACAGAAAGTAACTGGTACAAGGTGGTACCGATGATGCTGATGGCATGCAGTGAGTGCTATGAGACTCCTGCAATGCTGTGTTGAAGGAAGTCAATATACACAACGTTACTCTTGCAAGGAAGAGATCATTTTTATTACTTGGACAGTTGCCTTACAGATTGTAAACAAATAATTTATTGCAAAATAACATATGATACTAATATGTGGATGTATTATGACTTAAAAGACACATTGTGAGCTCTTGAAACAAATTTGTGTTTAAAAAGCGCCTGCATTAGCTCATAGGTATAATGGTAAAAATGGCATTTGTTGGCCCATTGATGCGACACCTATTCTGCTCCCAATCCACTAAATATTACCAGTGTGTATATCGCAGGCACCTACATGTGAGACCTACCATGATGATAGAATGATTGTCTTTTAGTACATTTGATGATCCTAAAGTGGTACATAGACCAAAAGAGCAAAATGCATGATAAATTGCCTTTTTCCAGTCTAAAACAGTTTTGTTGCAATGGTCTAAAGCATGAGATGGCAAATTACCAACATTCCCAAAAAATTAATACAGCTACAAGATTATTTCCTAGCATAGTGAAACACAGACTTTATTAAATAATCAAACACAAGGTAAGAGGACACAAACTATTAAATCACTCTTTAGCAACAAAACAATTTACATCAGCTGCACCTGATGAGGAAGCTCCAAGCCGGTGTCATCAGGAAATAAGTTGCTTAAGATACTGCTATCTGATCCTTCCTCTGCATCGTCGACTCCAACACATACAGCATTTAACTTTACCAAGTATTCAAACTTCAGAGTGATTAATCTAGACGGTTTTGCTCGACAATCTTCATCATCATATATATGAAGGATGATTTTGAGTGGATGAAGTTGGTAGACTCCTGCCTGCTCAACACTATCCTTCATCACATTCTTCTTTGGCCTCTTTCGCCTCCTTTGAACATCTTCCTCCTCATCAGGTGCATCATCCTCCACCCTGTTGTTCTCAGGGTTCGATGACATACCTGCCATTGTACCTTCTTTCCCATTAATGTTCAGACAACCAAGCTACATTTAAATATAATTAAGCAATAACAAAAGATCCATGGGCATCCTACACTCATAACCTAATTACAAATTGTTAATTGTATGCAAATAGAAGAAAATCATGTAAACAAAGCATTATGCAAGAGGAGTTTGCCTACAGGGTACTAGTTAACCAATGTAGAATCTAGTTAACAAGTTCCACTT